GTGGTTTCTGTAGTACTGCCCACTCCTATTTGACATGACTGGGAAAGGAAGGGGGTGCCTTTTGACCCTGTGATGTGACCGTGTGTTCCCTGCCTGGAAGCCTTCAGTGGCTCCCGTTGCTCTTAGGATAAAGTCTGAGCTTTTTACTGTGGCAGCGAAAGCCTATCTGATCGCCAGCCTCATCTTGTTACACTTTCTCCCTTGCCCTCTCTGCTTTAGCCACACTGGCTGCCTTAGCGTTCTTCGAACATACCTTTTTTTTTTTTTTTTTTTTTTTGCCTCAGGACCTTTGCACATGCTGTTTCTTCTCGGTTAGATTGCTCTTCTTGCTTCCCTCACACCCAGTGCCTTGCCAACTCTTATTCATCTTTCAGATTCACTTTTACTTCCTTGGGTGCCTGCCTTCTTGAACCCTTATGTCAGGATTCCCCTGTGATATCCTCCAATTATCACTCCATCCTCTTTCAGAGCTAGAATTATAGAAGTGATCATCTATTTAATGTTTGTCATCCCGATAGATCATAAACTGTCATGGACTTAGATCATAAACATGGACTTAGACATAGATCATAAACAAGGGCATGGACTTAAGTCTCCCTAGTGCCTGATATGGACAGTGGCTGCCGTCGTAGTAGGTGCTCAGTAGAGAGCACAGAATTGATGAGTGAGTTAAACAAAATAAAATGCAAGTGTCTGTTTAAGAAGTCCTCAGCCTCGGCCCATTAGGAATAGAATTACATTAGTGGTAGCTCTCAAGAGGGCCTGGGTCTTTCTAGAAAGGGAGGTGGCCCCATTATCTCCATGTTGACCTCCGTCCGCAGGGGGCAGGTATCAGTGATTTGCACTCTGCTGAGATCAAGAACAGTCCCACTCGCTTCTCTGGAAGCCTGTTGACCTCAGCTGGTTTTTCTCCCCCAGGACATGAAGCAGCCTTTGCTGCTTTCCTCTGCTGCCTCTGCAAGATTGGGGTGCTCCGGGTAGACGACCAAATAGCTATTGTCTTCAAGGTGTTCAATCGGTGAGTGAGAGGAGGGGCAGTGGGGGTCTCTTTCCTCCTTGTCACCGTCACACTGAGGACAGGGTGCTGGAGGGCTCTCCTGAGCGCCTGTTTCTTCTTTCGGCCCGTCCTCATCAAGCCCTGGCTGTGGATGGGGCACCCAAGACAGAAGGACTGACGGGTTCAGTTTCAAGGAAGAACAAGGGAAGGAAATGTCACGTACTGACTGCTAATGCTTCCGTGGCTCTGCCATGCAGCTCCCTCCCTTGATCTCCCCAGCAGCCTTCGTTTCTGTTTTATAGACGAAGAAACAGAGGCCCAGAGAAATCAGCTGTCTTCTGATCACTGAGGCCACACAGCCAGCTGACCCCCCCCCCCCCCGAAACCCCCTACCCGGCAGCACAGGTGTGGCATGGTCACCGGAGCGCTCTGACAGTGCCTGTTCTGGGCCCCCCTCTGGCGATGCTGATGCCAGAACTGACACAGCCCCTGAGAACAGGGAGGGTGGGAGCCGAAAGGCCCCAGGAGACGATCTGCTTTGTCTCCCAGCCACTTTCCTACAGGCAGGCCAGACTCGGAGAGCCTGAGGCTCCTGCCCAGGGTGTCACGTTGTCAGGAGTCGGTGGTGCTAAAACCCCCTTCCCTGGGCCAAAAGAAGGCTGAACGTGGGAGAAGAAAATAAAGCCACATTATTTTGAGAGTACCAGCTGATGCATAACTTATGCGTGTGGATTTTAATTGAAATAGAGACCGGTCACGCTCTCAGGTGGCTATTTCTGGCCTCCATGAGCTCCCAGTGGCAGGAGGCTTGAGGCCGGCTTTTTACTTTGTGCTGCCTCTTTTTTCACCTCCCTCTTGCGCAGGTACCTCGAGGTTATGCGGAAACTCCAGAAAACGTACAGGATGGAGCCAGCCGGCAGCCAGGGAGTGTGGGGCCTGGACGACTTTCAGTTCCTGCCTTTCATCTGGGGCAGCTCACAGTTGATAGGTACTGGAGAGGGGGCGCCTACCCCTCCGCCCCCCAGGGTGCGTTCTCTGTCCCGCCCCCCCCCCCCCTCCTCCCCTCCTTACTTCCGCTCAGGGCAGACGGTGACAGCTTGTAAAGCAGGCATTAGACCGGCTGTTGACGGAGGCTGTTTGCTGTCGACCTTCTGCCGCGAGCCGGTGAGGCAGGCTCGGGAAGGCGGAGGCAGAGTGTGCCGAGATAATGGAAAGTGACACGGGCTGGAGCGAGGGCGCTCGCCTGGCGCGTAATGGGCTGGTGTGAACCGTGCCCCAGCTCCTGGCAGCAGCTGCGGGGTTTTATGTTGAAAACGAGGGGCTCTTTTGACTCGGTGACTGGCGTCATCCACTGTTATTATCGAGCTGTGTGCCAGGGGGCCCGTCAGGGAGCGGCCACCAAGTGCTGGGCAGTGAGCCGCTTCCGGTGGGCGCGGTGTAGCGGTTCCCCCCACTCTGAAACTGCTTTCCAGGCTCGGGCGGCACATTGGGATCTGCAGCGGGTGAGGGTTGGGTGGTAACTTCCGCTTTGACGTAGGATTAACTGTCTACAGAATCGTATTCATAAATGACCCTTGGTGAATATTTTGCTCTGTGCCAGGCACTGCTCTAAGCATGTTGGGTAGATTACCTCCCAGAACCTTCTCAACGACGCTGGGAAGGGTCTTTGCCAGCACGAGACCAGCCACCTTTGACTAACACTTAACCTGTGCGGGCACCATGGCGAGCGATCCCCGATCAGGTAGTGAGAGGGAGGTGCCGTTCATGTCCCCGCTGCACGGATGAGGAAACGGAGCCTCGGAGGGCTGTAGTCACTGGTTCAAGGTCACGTAGCTAGAAAAAGGCAGAGCCAAAGCTCGTTCACTAGGATACACACACAGGTCCTTCATTGCTCCCACAAGGTCAAGTGTTGGCACGTGGGCAGGACTGTGCCCCCGGGGTGGGTGTGGAGTGCCCTGGGCTGAGGTGCTCCGTGGTGGGAGTGCCTGCTTCTGAACCCCGGGGCTCTTTGCCATTCCCAGACCACCCGTATTTGGAGCCCAGGCACTTCGTGGACGAGAAGGCCGTGAACGAGAACCACAAGGACTACATGTTCCTGGAGTGTATCCTGTTTATTACTGAGGTGAGGGGAGGGGGTGAGGGAGAAGCCCGTGGCAACGTCCAGGCCGAGAGGGACCTGAGGATGGTGGCTTTGGGGTGAGACAGAGGAGCCAGGGCCCTCGCCTGGAGACAGCAGGGTTGGCCCCGGAAGGTGGGTTGTTGGAAAGGAAGCCCCACTAGGCCTCTGCAAGGTTGTAAGCCCGCTTTTGACTGTCCAGGATCTCGTCCCCCAAATCAGTGGTCTGGGGTTACTCCTGAACCCCATGGAACTTTTGAGCTGTGGGACTGAGACTCAGTCACTGGCTGGACTTGGTGACCCATGCGGCAGGTCTGAAGGGGTGGGTGGGGCCCACGAGGCCTGTCCAGCCACGTGCACGGGATGCGTGTGGGGTGAAGCCGTTGCAGGAGTTGGAGAGACTCATGTGGACAGCAGGCTAGATTTCTGGGGACACATCTGTGTCGGTACTGAGGACATGGGCCAGATGTAGTGCCAGAGGTGAACCAAGACGGCCTGGACCCCTAGCCCGCCTGGCAGGGGGGTGTTTAACTGGGCGCTGTTGCCCGCTGAGGCAAGGTCTCCCATTTCCTCCAGATCACCCGGGGAACTTGTTAAAACGCACGTTCCTGGGTCCAACCCCAGCTTTCTGAGTCAAGAATCTTGGGAGACAAGAACCAGGAACTCGTATTTAAATACACCTGCCAGGTGACTTCACATGGAATTTGGGGACTCACTGCTCTTAGGGCCTTTCTCTCAGGAATTGTCAGGGCCTTCAATCCTCCCTGCTGCATACCTGTCCCCCTCACCCCAGAAACTTTCAAAGGGCGCCCTGGTCCTGCTGTCTGGAGAGGGCCTTGCCACTGTCCTCTTTTCCAACACCCACATGCATGTCTGGCCCCAGTGATGCCCCTGGCATGACTGTGGTCTCCTCCCCACTGAGGCTGCTCTCTCGGCTCCTGTTCTGAGCCCCCTGAGCCCCCTGAACGGAGGAGAAGCCTGGTTAAGCAGCCGTAGCCCCAGGCTCCTCATGGTCAGCGTTCGGCTCAGGCCTCTGCCAAACTGCAGAGGCCAGAGGGGAATGACACGTTTTTCCAAGTCAGCAAATGGAGCTGGAACTGACGGCTGGGCGGCCACCGCTCCAGTCTCAGATCTGCTGCCTTCAGCAGTGTGGCAGGCCCAAGGTCGGAAGGACTCGGGGCAGCCTGGCTCATTGCCTCACGAGCCAGTCACGTGTTGCCCTTTCCAGAGTGGGATGTGAGGGTCTGGGGAGCCCTGGGAGACCCCAGGAGGAGCAGGAGGAGCAGGGTAGAGAGAAGGGGTGCGCGTTCTAGGCTGAGCCCTGCTCTGCTCACTTGGGGGTAAAAGACTAAGCTGTTCTGGCTCCCTCTGGTGGCTGGCCAAACCCCGGGGTCCCTGTCAGTGACTCGCAAGGAAGAAGGTCGGGCCGGGCCTCGGGGAATATGGGAATTGATTCCAGGTTCAACTTTTGCATTTTTATTTGGTTGGTTGGTTACTCTGGTATAAAAACCCAAAAGCTTTCCTGAGGTTTGGGATGCGGTTCCCCTGCTGGAGAAAATCCTACAGCGGCCACTAGGTGGCACTAACAGCACATTGAACTTTGAGGAGGTTTTCGTAACTTCCTTGGCCTAGAGGCAGACCCTGGAGTTTTCGCTTGTTCTGCACCCTCTCCGCAAGGCCTGGTTTTCACTTTGGGTCTAGGTGCTGGGGCATGGTGGTAAACACTGACCGCTGGCAGGGCTGAGGGCTCCCTTCCGTCCCCCTGGCCAAGCGGAGACCTGGCTGGTGTGGCTGCTGATGCGGCTGCGCCGGGCCAGTTCTCCGGAGCTCTGGTCTGGGCTACGCCCACCCCCACCCCCCCTCCCCCCCCCCCCCCCCCACTCCCCTTCCACCTCGCACCAGTGTGTCCTGTTGCTGGTCCGTGAATGAGTGGCCTGGCCTGGCCCACCCTGACCCAGGGAGGCTGAAGGCCCGTCGCTGGGACACAGGGACCCGGAGGCCTGTGCAGAGTTCTGTGTGCTTCGGTCTGGAAAAGACGGTGTTGCCTCTGGAGACCTGGGGATCAGGATGGCTGGTGCAACTAGGAGAAAAAAACCAAAACAACAAGAAGTGGGAAATGGAACGGGGCGTCTCCTCCTCGTCTCCCAGGACCTGCCCTGGTCGCCCTGGGCATCCCGGATGAGGGACCCCACCTTGCAGGGCTTCTGCTGTCTCAGGAAATGCAGCCCTGGCGCCTTTAAGAGCCCAGGGCAGGCAGGAAAAGAATTTCAGTTTCAATCTGGCTTCTAAATTTGGAGTTTTGGGAAGGGAGGGATCAGATTTCAGCTGGAAGGGAAGGAGCTGACAGGAAGGCGCTGTGCAGAGCCTCTCCCCATCCCCCCTCAGTTACTGACAGAGGAACCATTTACAAAAGGCCGATTCTCTTGGGAGTGGAGAGGCAGGAACGCAGCGTCTGTGAGTAATTTCCTGCTCAATATGGCTGCTCTGACTCACACGATTCCCCTGGGGTCACTGCGGGACTGCAGCTTGCTTGCTCGTTCTCGCTCTTTCTCTTCTCCCTTTGTGGCTAGAATGAGCTAATTTTTTTTTTTTTTTTGTCTTCTTGCTCCCGATTCCTTTTTTCCCCTCGTCTCTTTTCCTTTCCCAGAGTTGCAGAGTCCCCTCCTGAAGGACTTAGGGTGGCCTTGGGGCACCGCAGGCCCGGGGGTGGGGGGGGGGCGTGGGATGTGGGGCAGCCCCTCTAAAGAAATAGCATCTCTGGCCTTTCCATGGGGTCAGAGCAGGCCAGAGAGGCCTTTTGGGGTCCCTTCCTGTGCCCCTAGTGGTTGAGGCTAGCCCACGAAGCAGAGCCTCTGGTTTTCCAGAGTCATCTGCTGGCCCTGGCCTCGGGGCCCTGGCTGAGCAGGCTTCTGGAGCTGTGCTGGGGGATGAAGCCGGCAGGGTGCCCCTGGGGTGGTTTGTTCACAGGGCCTTGTCCAGACTGAAACTGGTTACACATTTCCAGTGGTCCCTGAGGTTCTCAGGGCCTGGAAGTGTGCAGAAGACTGGAGCCTGCTGCTGGTCCCCAAGGGGCAGAGAGCCTTGGGGGAAGGGGCGGGGTGAGGGGAAGGGCGGGTTGTTGGGGGCGGAGCCTGCTTGAGTAGGATGGTTGGAACAAAGCTCCTCGAAGGCCAGGCCCCATAGGCTAGGGGAACCGGAGGAGGGAGCCACCCTGGAGGAGGGAGTGTTAGAAAGAGAGAGGAAGAGAAAGAAAGTGGGTGTAGACCCTGATCCTGGAAAAGCCCTGGGAGCACCAGGGTGGGTTTTTGTCTCTGTCTTAGCACCTTGGGCTGTGGCCTCCCTACTGGAGGAAGGAGGCTGAGGTCCTCGCTACCGAACCTGGGAGTTGAGACAGGCTTTTGGGGAACTTCGGGCAGGGAAGGGAGGTGACAGCAGTAAATGGCAGCGCTTTGGACTTAAATCTTGCATTTTGGTGTGAGGCCCTCGCTGGAGAAGTGAGGGGCGTGTAGGAGCAGGTCACTCACGAGCCCACAGCCAAACGGTGGGGGTGTCGTGTGCTCCTGGGCCCTTATTCTTAGGCCCAGTATGGAGAGGGAGCTTTGGGTCCATCCTTTCTCCCTGGAGCAGCTCTCCCCCAGCCCCACCTCCACGCACAGCCTCTTCTGGAACCTTCCACCCCCTCAGGGTCCAAGTCTCTGCTTCCTTGCCAGCTCAGCCTCTTTGATTTTCAGACTCTTTCTTCTGAAGCCTGGGGCTCAGGGCGCTGAACCCCTTTCCCCCAGGCAGCCTTGTGAAGCGCCCATTAACAAATGCACCGGCCTTGTGCGGAGGGGTCCACGCAGGCACACAAGCCTCCCTGTCTCAGTGCTGTGGTTTCTGATGTCATGGGAACTTCACTGGGCTTGCTGCAGAATCGCTTTCCTTCCTGGGGGGGTCAGAACTCTGGGCAAGAGGAGGGACGGGAATGGAGCTGGCCTTGCCCCTGCCTGTCCCTTGCCACTGTCGTCGTCGTCGCCATCCCTTCCCTGCCCCCCAGCCAGGTCAGGCAGACCGTCTAAACAGACCTTCCTCCCGAATCTGCTGCAGGTGCCCCTGGCTCAAGGCTCACGTCTCCCCCCTCTTTCCCCCCTCTTTTGCTCCCTGCCTTTTGCACACATGCCGTTCAGAAGGCAGTTGGGTGCCTGGGTTTGGTCTCTCCCACCTTAGCCTTCCCCTACACGGACCCCTCCTCCGGCCCTTCCGGCTCCGCCAGTGGCAGGTGCAGCCTGAGTACCTGGTGGTGGGGCCCACCCTGTGCGGGGCTGGGCCGGGGGAGGCTCAGGGAGGCCGCTGCTGTTTACCTGGAAGGGAGCAGGTCCCCGTGCCGTGCCGTCGGAGCGCTCTGCGGCTGGGGGGAGTTGACGGGAGTCTCAGCAGGGGCTTGGGTGGAGATTTTATTTTTCTGAGGCTGCTGAGTGTGGTGGGTGGTGGGAATCAGGCTTCCTTTTTTTGGCTGTGGGAGAAAGAGGATAACTCTGGGGGTTATGTTTTCCCAGTGGGTCTTGCGGGCCGAGAGAGACCCTGTCTCTGGTACTTATGTGTGCTTGTGTGTGGGGGGGGGGGTACTCACGTGTACGTGCTTGTGCACATGTGAGTGTGCACACCTCCCCCCGGCAGGTGATGCAGCCTGGTCCTTAAGCACACACGCGTACACGTGTGAGCGTGTATGTGGGTGCATATATACGCACACGTATGTGCGCTCCAGCACGTGTGCATATATTTGTGCGTGCACGTATGCGTGCGTGTGTATACACACATGCGTGTGCACAGCCTTACTGCAGGGAAACGGGATGAGCTCCCAGATGGCCCGCCTCTCCAGCTCTGGATTCTTTTCTTCAGATGAAGACCGGCCCCTTTGCAGAGCACTCCAACCAGCTGTGGAACATCAGTGCCGTCCCCTCCTGGTCCAAAGTGAACCAGGGTCTGATCCGCATGTATAAGGCTGAGGTGAGTGGGGGCCGGCTGGTCCTCTTGGTCCTGGGGCCGCTGATCCCCCCACCCCCACCCTGCTGCTTTGCTCCAAATCTCGAGCCAGCCCCTCTGACCCTCGAGGCCTCAGTCTCTGTCTGGGGAGTGGGCAGACAGAGAATCCCTATGCCGAGGCCCGGCTCTGCCCAGTGACTGAGGCAAGGCCCTGCTGCCCAGGGTCTGTCAGATGGCCAGAGGTCCCTCACAGCTGTGTCTCACATGGGGACACGAAAGTGAAGACATGCTTTGGAGGCATCGTCCAAATTGGCGCTTCTCAGACTTTGGTGGGTCTGATACCTGGCCAGGTAGCCCTCGAGGGAGGCCCAGAGCTGACATTTCTAGCAGTCACTTCAGGTGGTGTTCTAGTTCTCAGATCTGAGAGGCAGGGTGAGGCGTGGCTCCCCTGAGCTCCCCCTGCTGGGAGGTGGCTGCCCAGCTCTTGAGGGTGTCCCCTGTCCTCTCTCCTCCTCTCTGGCACCTTTTCCCAGCCAAGGAGGTGGCTTTTTTTCTTGCAGGTAGGGAGGAGACATTTTCTTTCCATCCCGTCCCTTCTGTTAGCTTCTTTCACGTCTGTGCACACCGATCCTGGAGCTGCTTGACCTTGGCCAGGGAAGGACCTGGGTGTAAAGTCCCTCACCGAGAGTAACGAGTCCCCGGAGTCCCCTTTTTTCGCCCTCAGGCTGGTGGTCTTCGATGCTGTCCCGTGGGTGCTCTTGACCCCTCGGCTCTTGACCCTTGGCCACCCCTCTCCCGTGGAGAGAGGGAGGTTGGTTCTCTGAGTCGGCTTCATTACACTCACATCCCATCAGGGGAGGCAGGGGGAGCAGGGGGGAGAGGGTATTGGAGGCCGGGGTGTGGCTGCGTGGCACAGATGCTTCCGGTCGGCCCTGTTCCCTCCGCGTGGCCCCGAGGGGGTTAACGGCACTGGAACCGACCGGCCGGCCCTCTGTCTCCCTTCCGCCCCCTCCCCCTCCGGTTCCCTTCCTCTGGACTTCACATCCTGTGTTTGGGTTCCGGCCCACATACCTCTCTAATCTGAGAGGAGCGTCTGCTGGGGCTGCGCAGGCCAGGCTCCTTCCGGGCTGCGGCCCGCTGGGCCCTCCGGTCTGGCTGTGCCCCCCCCCCCACCCCCCCGGGTCAGGGAGCACGCGGGTCACTGCACTCCGGGTGTCCTGTTGTTCCTGACACC